TACTTAAATTACCTCTAGCTAAAGATACTCTAGCAGTCTAGCTTCTCTTAATAATATTCTAGCACACTCTATAAGAATCCTCTACAGTCTTTCTATATATCTATTCTAGGCTTATATATCTAGAGTACTTAGTTTATATATCACCCCCTTATCTTAGAGCTAGATAAGGAAGTTATAACTAATTAACATCTCTTTATTAATATATAAGAACTTTAGTTTATAATTAAATCTCTTCTTAACTAACTAGATTAAGTATAGAATCTATTCCTAATAGTTATCCTTTCCTAGGTATATATATATTATCTAGAAGTTAGTCTTATAGCAAGTAATATATATAATATATAAGTCCTTATTTATTACTATCTAGAGTAGAGTTATATTAATAGTTATTCTAGTAAATAGCTTATCTAATAGCTTATCTAGTATAGGATTCTATAATATAATTTTAGTGGCCTTACTAACTAAGTAGCTTTTATAGTTAATTATTCTTAGAACTATATCTCCTTCCGCGATATTTACTCCTTTAACTACCTTTAGGAATTACTCTATAATTTCTCTATATAGGTAACATAGAGCTTGGTACTATTATAGTAGTATCTTAGTAGTAATTCTAGAGAACTATATAGTTAGTTACCCCTTCTACTTACTACTTATATTATTTTCTAATAAGAACTAACTATTATAGCTATTAAGCTAATAGATAACTTCTATACTTAACTCTGGCCTTATATACCTTAAGTTTAAGTAGATGTTAGCATCTATATATTTAGCTAGTAATATAATATTAGTTAGGAACTTAGGAATATATACTATATCTTTAAGTATAACTCTTCCCTTACTACTATCTAGAAGATTAATAATATAAGTTATATTACTAATAGCCTTAATCTTTAGCTCTCCTACTCCTATAATAATATGCCTGTCCTGCTTTATATAGGGTGTGAATTAATAGGTAAAGTTTACTAAGTTATTATAGATATAAGTAGATACTCCACTATTAAGGATCTATAAGTTTAGGTAGGTATACTCTTTATCTTCTCTTTACTTTATTACTAATAATATAACTCTCTCCTAGGCTATCTATATATAGTTTATTTCTTTAACTATCCCCTTTTTAGCTTCTTATTCCTTCTCTCTAGCTTTAATCTTCTTATCTTTCTTAATTGCCTTTTGAATGTGCTCTTAGTTACCTAGTTTAGTAATCTACTTGTTATAATAAGCTTAGGTTTCCTTATTAGGCTTCTATCTAGGCTTCCTTACTTTAGGGTTGTAATATTTATATGCTAGCTACTAGTGTTATTTTCTATAGATGTAAGGTAGAGGTTACCTTTATCTAGATTAGTCTTTTCCTTATAATATTGCTATAAACGCTGTGTATAATCTAGGTATTATTAGTTAATACTTTATAAGTTGTACTAAGTGGTAATATTCTTTAATTATATACTTAAGAGTCTCTTCTAGCTTCTTATTCTTTAAGTCTTCTTTATACTTTATCCACTCTTATATAAGGGTTTGCTTGGTAGTGAAGAATAAGTAATTAATTAAGCTAATTAATAGAAGGAAGTTCTATAGTGCTTAGTACCTAAGTACCTCCTATATACCTTTATTCTTTATCTTCTAGTAAGTAATAATCTAATCACTTAACCACTTCTCTATCTCTCTATTCTTTAGTGTAGATTTCAACTGATTGTACTTCCTTTTAAGGTCTAATTGTTGTAAATCGCGGTTGCTTATAAATTATTGCTTTATAGCTTTAATAATCTGCCTTAGACTTAGGTGAACTTTACTAATAAAGCTATAGTTCTTAGTTATAATTAATATAACTAGGTACCTCTATATCCTTTTAATTAAGGTATATACTATAGTGTATATTAATAACTTAGTCTTCTAGTTATTGTGTGCTTCTTGATACTGCTATTTAGTAGTATACCCTCTATTTAGTTTATCTATAAATATAGTATAGATTAGGTATTTAACTTTAGTAGGTAGTTTATCTATTCTATCTAGGTTAATATACTTCTAGTAGGATCTACTAATAAGGGATACCTAATAGTACTAATTATCCTAATTAGATTAGGTCTATAGGATCTTTATAGGCTTTATCTTAGCTATTGTTAATCTTACCTACTTAGTAGGTAGATAGAGTAAGGTAGGAGACTTTAAACTCCTAGTATAGTTAACTTAGGGTGTTATAGTTAATGTTAGTAAGTCTACTTAATAATAGACTTATTTAACTTGTTTAATAATAAGGTCTACTATCCTACTAGTAGGTTTAAAGTGCTGTTTAGTTGTCCTATCCCTAGTGGGTTAATAATTAATATAAGGTAGGGGTTGTTAAGGTATAGTTAATGTTAAGTCTGCTCCTCTTCGCTTTATACTTAAGGTAAGGTGAAAAGACTTAGTTAAATAGAGTTAATTAATAGCGTTCCTTAAGTAGTAGCTAGGCTTATAACTATTATAGTTTTAGGCGTAGTATACTTTAGGAAAACTTTATTACTAATTCTCCTAATTCTATAGTACTATACTTAAGCAAAATTTAGAGACTATTAATTACTTGTTTCCTTAGTATTGTTAGGGTTAAAAAGAGGGGTTGAAATACTAGTACTAATTACACAAGAGGTAAGATTAATATGTTTTCCACCCTAACAGGGGTTGAAATAATAATAATAATAGGTAAACTAACAATTGTGATGTGTGCTAACTACTAATAAGGAGTATTTAAGGGGGCTTGATTGCGTGGCTTGAATTGACGGAACGCACGACCGATTAGTTTAACAGGTGCAGGACTTGCTCGAATGCTCCCGACATACCTCGAGCTAGCTCTCTAATCTTTTCAAGGAAGGTCAAACGGTCAAGTCTTTAGGGGCCAGGAATGAGATGACTCCCTGTTTGAGATCAATCCTTAAACACAAACACATCCCGCGGGACTTTTGATAAAAAAAAATTGGCACAGGGTGACGAACGAGTCTGATACCTCTTAGTCTTTTTGTGATTGATGCAGCTTTTAATGTTGCTGTGGCTCTGGCACCGCATTTACCTGTTTTTCCCGACAAAAGTCAGTGAACGCTAAGATACCAGCTTTCGAACCGGAACCATCGAAGCACAAAACAGGTGCGATACAGACGGGTGGTAATGGGCGGAACAGAAAACGATGCGGTTGCGTTGGTCCGTGCGGAGGGTGTAGGGGAAGGATCCCCCCAGCCCCCGCCTGATCTTCAACTGCCATTGCCTGTGGAGTACTACCTTGAGCTCCGTTTTCCACAACCCTACTTCGAACCACCCCTCTTCAACATCGTTTCGTCCTTCTTGCCACTTCCTCCACTCAACACAACAAAGGCCAATTCTTTTCAACAACAACATGGCGAAGAAGGCCACAACCGAGCCAGCAGCCGGTCAACCAGCACAGCAAGTGAGCTGGCACCCGCAAGAAGCAAGCATGCTCATGCAACTTCCCCAAGAGCTCCGCAATCAGATCTATTCCGAACTCTTCCACTCAACTCAAATGACGCACGTATCAGGGCGGTCCATTGATCCATCATCTCACCTCGCGTTGTTGCGAACGTGCAAACGCATACACGCCGAGGTCGGCGACTCGTGGTTGAAGCAGGTCGAGTTCAGATTCGATGATTTGGAAGCAATGCTGGACACGCTCGCAAACATCCCCGAGGAGAAACTGGCTCTGATCCGACATGTGCGCGTTCCTTCCAAGTCTCTCAAAATCTTGGTCGCAGATGAAGGCAAGCTGTATCTACTCCATGCGGCTCTTCAACTCCTCCCTGGCCTTCAGCTCGACAGGCTTACTGTGGTGGCTGGGGATATGATGGTCGAAATGGAGTACAAAACTCTGGATTTCCTCATCAAGTACAGTGATGGATGGAAAGAGCTTAATTTCCTGTCTCCTGATTCGAGGTTACTCGGCTACAGACACGCACCAGTGACTGGCCGTTTCCGATATTTGCGCAAGCCGCAACCATGCAGCTGGCAGAAGCAATTGGAGGATCTTGACGGAAGTCACACCAGCCCTTCAGTGGCTGTATATCGCGCGATGAGTGCCGGTCCTGTAGGCTCCACTCTGGACCCAGGCCAACGGGTTCCCTTTGAGCAGAACTTGGCCGAAGGTCAGACACTTCAAGAGTTTGTGGGCAGAGAGGATCCTGCTCTCTGCTCACCGGGCGAGCTCCAGAAGGAGATGTTGGTCATTGTCAAGCGGGGCAAAGGCGTTGACTACACACAGCGGTGGGATGGTGTGAGCTTCGCGGGCGAGATAAGAGAGCACTACAAAATTGCCACTTGGCCGGAGATCGAAAGGTGCCATATTCCAGACGACGATTGGTTTTACACCATCTGAGCTAGAAATCTAGGGGTGATTCCCCCACCTTCTGAGCTCTGTGCAAATGCCTTGAGTCGGGGGTTTGCTTCACCGAGTAGTGAAGGCTAGTCCAGGCGAATCCATCCCAAACTGTTCACATCACCTCGACTTTGGACCTTCCAAAACTATCAAGTGGCCTGAGTACGCATGATATCCGCAGCTGATCTCAAAACCTCGAGCTCGCCAACTTCAAGTGCAGGCACACAACACGTACTCGGGATATTCTGGTCCCAAGAACAAATCCAGGGAGGAGCGCCGTTTGTGAGCGTATGCAGAGAGAAGACGAATGGATTGATCTCTGCCAGAGCGAGCAGCGCAGCTAACTAAATAGGTGCGATACTGCTGCTACGTCATGGGATGATGCCATGGGAGTAGCGGCTCTATGACTAACGAGTGACGTCTCTACTGACGCAATGGAGAGAGAGCGGATACGACTCCAACACCGTTCAATCAGAATCCAAGAAACACGCCGCCAGAACCTTAAAAGCTCGTCCCGGCCGCTGCTAGTTGGAGAGTTGGAGGATAAGCGGGATCTCGTATTGACAAGTCTTCGCGCGTTGCGACATTCTCCTCTTGCTGTGTATAAAGTCACACATTCCCCTACCTACCACACAGCGAGACGACGTAAAGCGGGTTGGTGGTGTAGTGGTAACATGCGCCGCGGGTAAACATTCTCTTTCCGCGGATGAGACCTAGGTTCGATTCGATTCCTGGCCGACCCACTTGCTGTAAACCTTTTGGCTGGTGCGGTGCGTCTTTTTTTGAGTGCGGCTTTTTTGAATGGTCTTGCGCTGGTGGGTGGTTGAAGTCTGGTAGCGATGCACAGGCGCGGACACGGACACGGATTTTTGGTGTGGGTGGAGGGGAGAGATGGAGGGAGGCAGGAGAATGGTATTGAAGTGGAAAGGGCTTGTGTTTTGCTGCCATGTTGGTAAAGAGCAAGATTCAAGGTCTGAATCTGATATCGGAATGGCACTTCGTGGCTGCTGCCTGGGGGAACGGTGAGATGGGTGAAACATTCCTTTTGGCTACTGAGGCAGGGGCCAGTGAGATACGGGCTACAAGAAAGGAAGAGAGAGGTAGGTGGACAAGGGGGAGAGACGAAATTGACGGTGACATGCGAGAAAGCGTCGCGTCGAGGAGCTGTGTAAATGAAGTGAGAAGAAAGAGGATGATGTATATACACAAGAAGGCGGACCAAAAGTCAGCGAGACAAAGATGGGCAATTCAGATTTACAGCATTTGTACAGTGGTATCTTATACACAATACAGTGGCGCATTCATCATGCAACGAACGGTTAAAAAAAAAAAAGGACAAGAAGATGCTCAAGACGCTTGAGATGCAACGCACAGTAAACCAAACACATGAACTTTCAGATGACGACGACACAAGAGTATATCTCAAAGGGGACTCCATGGAATCCAGATGGCAAGGAGAATCGAAGAAAAGGAAAAGTTTGGAAAAGAAAGAACTCCCCCCGCTAATGAAGACTCCGACTTACTCCTCCATTCCCGCTGCTGCTGCTGCTGCTGCGCTGCGCTGCTTTGCCTGGCTAGCTAGTAGGTAGGTGCTGTTGGAAAAATTGCAAGCAAGCACGCAGCGGGAGGATACCGACTAGACCCGCCCAGTCAAGATGCGACAATCGTGACGACGAATGACGAAGAGTAAGGAACTTTTGGGCGTTCGCTGTACTGACTTCCTCAGGAAACCTCTTCTCTCTAATGACCATGAATCGCGCTGTACACTTCCCCTTCTGACTCTCTTCATCTCAGCCACCTCTGAACCCTCACCAGCACAAAGCTACTCTGCAACCCTCATCCGTTTATAAAAGGGGAAAAGAAAAGAAAGGAAAAAGACGCTACACCAGCCGTGCTGCTAGAGCTCCTTAAAAGTCCTTGGACGAACCCTTGCCGTTGCTGTATCCGAGATCCCATGACGGCTTGAGCTGCGACATGAGGTCGTCCTGCGTCGTGACCATCTCCTTGGGGATGCGGCTGACGCGGTACGCGCCGTTGCGCACCGCGTGCAGCTTGGCCGCCGACATGCTGCTGCCGCCGCTGCGGATCGACGCCGTGTCGCTGCCGCCCATGTCGGCTCCGCGTATGCGCGGGACGGGCGCAAAGTCGAGTGACGTGAAGGTGCCGGATTTGCGGAGAGCGTGACTGTAGAGTGTGTTAGATGTGGAAATAGTGAGGAATTGGTCAAAACTTACGGGCTGGGGAGGGCGCCAATCTCGTCAAACGAGGAGGCAAGAGGAGTGAAGGGACGGACGCTGGGCGAGTAGGGACGCTGTTCGCCCATGGGGCTCTGGGGACGACGACCAGCAGCAAGGTCGCGCATCGAGGGCGGTGGCGCAAAGTCGATGGGGTTGAAAATATGCGAGTCATCCTTCAAGGCAGCGGGAGTAGGCAGGGTGCTCAGAGCCGCGGGAGGCGGAAGAGGCTTCTTAGGGGCTGGCATGTCGTTGCGGAAGCCCATCGACGTGGCCGAAGCTCCCATGCGCATCGAACCGGGAGTTCCAGGACGGCTGCCCCAGGAGCTGCCACCGATGGAGCCGCCTGGAGGACCGTGGCCACGGAACCTGGGAGGAGCACGAGGAGGCGGCGTCATGGCACGACGAGTGACGGGTTCTGCGAATGGTGCACCGGCGACAACGAAGTGGCCCTTTTGAGGATCGAAAACGGTACCCTCCATGTATTCTTGTCCATAGTCCTCGTGTGCATCCGCGAAGCGACCCTGGGGCTCGGGCTTGGAGTCGTCAAAGTATTCCTTGTAGAAAGACCTAATCCTGTTGGCGCGTTCCTCGGGGTTCTCAGTGCCGTCCTCAGGCGCCGCCGGGGGCAGCGGGCGCAGGCTGACGGAAAGTCTGTTGCCCTTCATTCCAGAGTCCTGGACCATCAAGCTTTGACGGGGGTTCTTGACCGGGGCAGATTCTTCGACATTGAAAGTAGGGAGAGCCGGAACAGCGTTGCGTGGGGGCGTGGCTGGTGTAACCTTGAAAGGATCCTCGTAGTCGCTAGACTTGCTGATGATGCTGTCGGTGTTGTGGACGGTGGCAGTGAACGATTCCAGTCTCAGAGGAGTGGGCTTGCGAGGGGGCGGGACAGGGGGCGGTGACTTGTCCTCGACGGTGTGGTCCTCGGCAATCTGGGGCAGAGATGGTTCCTGGACAGAAGTACGCTTAGAATTCTCGGTAGGGCTGCGACGTTTCTGCTCGGTCTCGAACGGGTTGTCCCGAACCAGGTCCATGGGGTCCTCGGCGCTAGAAGGAGTCAATGGGGAGGGCGGCGGCCTGGAGTGAGTGGCCTCAGGAAACTGAATCTCGGGAATCTTGTTGTCATCAGGCGACGAAGCCGCGGACCTCATGGGGTAGTTCCTGGACATCCTCTGCGCATTCTTGAGAAGACCCATGCGGTCGGTGCCAACACTGGACTTGCTGTAGGTGGACATGTTGTCGCCCTTGGCGTCCTCCTTGATAAAAGTAACTGGGCGATAGGGATCGTAACCGTCGATGGAGCGAGACATGGACTCGAGCGAGTTGCGCGAGCTTTGGAAGCCATTGGGCATAAGGTACGGTCCGGCATCCATATCCAGCGATAGACCCCTTCCTCCAGTACGAATCTCCTTGTGGGCGTCGGCAGTCGACATCTCGGGAGCCTTTTTCGATTTTCCTCCCGACGGCGCGGGGATATCCAGACCAAAGTCGAGAGACTTGTGCTTGTCATTGAGGTCCTCCAGAGCTTGCTTCTTGACGTGTCTTCTGTGTAGGAAGATGAGGACCAGGATGGCAACAGCAATTGGAATCCTGGACATATTAGCCGAGATGTGGGATGGGAGGGGCCAAAAGTCTTACAGAGCGGCAAGGACAATGGCAGTGCTGCTGTTGACGGGCTTCTGGCAAGTGTCCGAGTCCTGGGTGGTGTGGCATGAGGAGGAATCATCGTCGCTGGAGCCACCAGAGGCGCGCCTGGTCAGGTCGATGGCCCTGGCAAAGAGAGACTTTGCGGCGGCGACAGAAGCATTTTGAGCAGGACGCGTTACGGTATCATCGACGATAGCTTGGGCGGGGTGAATGTCTGCGGCGGCGAGGGCTCTGCGGGCATGGTGGAAGCTCGAGTGGAAGCGGTGGTTGAGCATGGTGTGGACGCAGCAAGCTTGTCATGCGACTACAGCTTCATGCGGGACAGAGAGTCGGTAGACACCGGGTATTATGGATTAACAGCGTGATGGTCGTCAATTGAGGTCGTGGGCGCGGGCTCCGGGGAGGTGGAGGTATGTACAGTGACAGGCCGACGGGAGGCAGGGCGCAGGCAAATTAGACCCTTGCAAAATGAATGACTTGGGTAAGAGTGGAAGAGAGCGACGAGCGAGGATGCCGGAAGCTGGGGCAGAGGCCGACAAAGAGTGAAAGACGGCGCTCAGCAAGAGGGAGGGTGGAGGTCAGGTAGTGAATGAGGGAGAGGAGCGGCAAAGTGTGGGAGGAGGCGGAGGGGGCAAGGTGATTGGCCGCAGGGCAGGAGAGGCGAAAGTGCGGTGCATGGTTTCTGGAAATGCAGTGCTTGTGCCTCATCGCGCACAGGCGGACGATGAGATGGGCGGCTTGCGGCGACGATGTCTCTGGCGCTCTGATGTTCGGGAGTGCGAGTCCTACAACATCCTGGTCCCCGATTGTCAGGGGCACCAGAGCAGCATGCCCCATTTGGTTAGCTGCCAGGGGTCAAACGCAAAAATACACAACCTCAGCCGTCAACAAACACCACGAGAATCACCGTCACGACTCTCAATGCTTTCGTCGCTGTACGCCTGCGAGGCCAAACCCATCATCAGTACGCTGTGACTGTCTCTCCCTCCTCTCGACCCCATTTCCTCAATCTGCGAACCCCCGCCCGACGGCGCAGGGGCCGAGTGCACGTCCACAGGCCAATTTCATTTTGCGCCATCGACCAGCCGGCCACGACTTTGATTTATCCCAGGCAATTCCAGCAATTCGCGCCTCTGCGGCAGTGTGCGACGTCGTCGACCGTCGCGTGTTGGCGCTGTGCTCTGAAACCTTTGCATTTTGCACCTCCATCTGTGGACGGCCTACCCTGTGCGTCCAAGACTATTCCCGGAAGCTAGTTCCCCTATCACTGAATCCTCCAGGGGCCGCCTCATCATGAGCTTGGAGAATAAGCAACCGCCGACAAACACAAGCTCTCATGGCACTGCAACCACCCGCCGTGGCTGACAACCTCCCGTCCACTTCTTGTCAGTAGCCGCTTCAGATGAATGAGGGTGGGGGCACACCATGACTGCGTTCTATATCCATCCCACAAGACTTCGGCACCTCTCCACTTCGGGTCACTTGAGCCCAGCCTTTTGTTTCGGCAACCGCATCCAACGCTCTTTCGGCTGAGGCTGTCGACGGCCCAGATCCCTATCTCCGCCCGCCTCTGATGTCGCGGCGCGCCCCTTGGCAACGTCCACCGACTCTACCCAGTTATCATCTGACCCCCTCTTCTTCTCTTCCATCATATTCATGCCTGATGCCATCCAGGCCAGCCGCCGAGCCCGGAGCTGCTTCAAAAACCGTCCACACCAAGCGTTTCACAAATCCCCATTTTCCCAGGTACCACTCCCGCGCCGCCTGAACACTCCTGCTCCCCCTCCCCCCCAATCACATACCCAACCTTCGTATTTTGCGATATTTGACTGCGCGTTCTCGTCCTCTGGGACGCCACC